AAAAAAATACAGACGATGCAGTTGATGGAAAAAACGTAACCTTTCAACAGGAAGCTACGAAAAAATTGATTTAAAGAAGGTTTCGTTGCGAGGCTCATAAACTGTCATCGATTTTTTTCGGCGAGGAAATGACGAAGCTTTCATCGCAGGATTTTATTTTATGCATGTGTCTGCAGGATTGTTGTATTTTGTCTTCCTTTTTCCTTTTTGTCTGCTTTGTGCGCTTTCTGGGTTGCCTACTTTTGGCCCTATTTTTATAGGTCGTTGGCCTTGTTTTTACGGCTTTTTGGGTGGCTTCTTAAAGTCGATTGTCTGTATTTCTTTTTCTTTAGGTTTTGGTGGCTTGAATTATGGGATTATTATTGGCTGATGAGGTCTGGAATGTTTATTTGATTAGGAAATGTGATGATGTTATAGTATTGTATTATTTTATGAATAAATACTTAATTTTATGTTGTCAGAAATAAAAATTCCATATTTGATTTTAATTGACTTGGAAAAAAATTAAAACAAAATAAAATATTTTAAATAGTTAGAAGATAAGAAGTAGATTTTTTTTGGCCCATTTATTAATCTTTTTTTAAAGAAATTTCCTTAAATATTTTAGACTAGAAGAGAAATCTTCACTTAATTTCTGATTAATTACCCAATTTATATATTAAATCCGCCAGTATAAAATACATCACCCGTATAATTCATTGTCTAAAACCAAAGAAATCTCTCTATCCATCGAAATTCTTTAAGTAATTTTCCTTTTCTTTGTATATAATTTACAACAAACAAAGGCAACAAAAGCCTTCAATACAATTAAAATGTAAATCATCTTGAACAAAATCGGTTTCCAATTTAAAACTCCATCCACAGTCACCTTTAAAATATTTCCTCCCAATTCACACTCGAAATACTTGTTCAAAGCGAGCACAACTGTACCAATTGCGCACTCGCTACGTGACTTTGTCGTATCGGTTTCACCCGAAAACACCTCAAGAACTTCCGAAGGCTGGAAACTAAATTTAGACGCCACCGAGAGCAACCCCAACTCGCAGTAATCCCAAGATTCAAGATCCCAAGATCCCCAGACTCCAGGCCCAGTGACATCGTCTCCATCTTCCATTTTCCATCTTGTGGCAGTCTTTTCATCATTGGGGGGCTGCAACTGCATCTTGCAACTGGCACGCTCTCAACTGCGACTGTGAAAATGCAACTGTGTGACTTTTACTTTGGCTCTGCATTAAAATAATTGCTTCCGAAATGACAACTGCTGCTAAAATTGAAAAGTGCCCTGTACGCAGACGCATTTGTTCCCAGTTTCCCCGGTCTCCCCGATTCCCGGGTTCCCAGTTCCCTCCAGATCCCCTGATCCCTGTGATCGCCCCCAAAAGGTTGACGTTCTGGCAACATGTGTGCGCGCCTGCGCGTGCCATCAATGTAAATGCAGCTTGGCGATGGAGATGGAGATGCTGATGGTGTGTATAGCGAATGGGGTTGATTTGGGAAGAAATACCGGGCACTGAGAAAAATTTTAGCAAGTTTTTAAATTAAATTCATGTCTTTAAAGAATATTTCATTTTTAATATTTTAAAATCAAAACTAAGCATTAGATAATGTAAAATTACTTAATAAACACTTTGACTTTTCGATGATTATTCCCAAAGATTTAATCCAGATAAATCAATAGTAAATACTTAAACAATCTGAGAAGGTCATTATATTTAAATCTAATAGATTTATTAAATATCCTCAAAAAACGGTCCATAAAACCCTCCTTATACTTTCACTCCAAGTTTTGCCTTCAAAAATTTTAAATTAAATGGTTAAAAAAATCCAAAGTTAAGAATAAGTCATGTAATTTTTTCCAGTGTCTATGATGGCGTCGCTTATTTACCGTTAAGATGCAGTGGCTGTCAATCAGCCACCAAAAAGACTCTGAGACTCAGACAAGGGCATTCCACAGGCACTCCTGCGAAGCTGTCTGGATCCGATTTGGATCCATATGTCGTCCCTTTTGCCGCTCTTCCTCTTTCTCACTCGACTCTTCGATCTATTTTTGAACAACTGTGGAGCTGTGGGCACGCCTGCGCACACACCATTATGTACTTGTACAGATGTACATCCATAATTTCCATTTTCAATTTTAGTTCTTCAACTTTACCGTTGGTTTCGCCTCGATTTCCCAGCACTTTGCCTAATGGTTCTTTTGAGACGCGATCTCAGGCTCAGGCTCTTTTTTTCCACGGCTCTGATATTTACGACCCTGCGCCGGAAATAGATTTGGAATTTAGAGTTTGGATTTTGGTTCAACAGGCGGTTTGCAGCCTTCTTCATGCTTATTGGAATTATCTATGGTTTCGATATCCATATGTTCTTCAGAACATTCAAGTAATTTAATATGGCAGCCTGTTTCCTCCCAGGTTAATCTCATTGTTCAACTGCATGGGAAATTAATTTTGGGGCATCAGGATGCTAGTTTCTGTTTTAAATTATTCAAAGGGAAATGACCTTTTATTTGTTGGGAAGAGGAGACCTATTATAATTGGATCGGATTTACTATAATCTTCCTATTGAAAAATATCAACAATTTTGGATCATTATTTCTGGATCGACTTCAATACTGCTTTTTTTTAAAATCGGAAATAAGGAGTTTTTCTGCAGGAAATTGTAAAAAATTCTCCCGGATCGAAGATGAAGAAGAACAGCTAACAATCTGATAAACTGAACGAAGGCTGAATTAAAAAAACTATGTTTTTTTTTACAAGCGGTTGCACTAGGATTTAAAAAAAAAATGGACAAAAACTAAAAGTTCCAGGATTAAAAGCCAATCTATTTGGAATTTTATATGGAGTTCAGGGATATATTTTACATATTTTTTAGGAATTTAAGTTAATAATAAATTAACTTTACACTAAACAAGAAAGGAAGCTAGCTTCGGCCAGCCGAAGCTTATATACCCTTGCAGATCATTCCTATTAATTATTAAATCGCAAAAATGTTCAATTTTCTAATATTTCTCATTAATTTTCCGATCGTTCCTATGGCAGCTATATGATATAGTAGTCCGATTTTTTAAATAATTAATTCGAAATTCAGAAATATTATTTTTTAAAGTTTTTTTTTCCGATTGTTCCTATGGGAGCCATAAGATATAGTTGTCCGATCCGGTCGGCTCCGACATATATACTACCTGCAATAGAAAGAAGACTTTTGGGAAAGTTTCATCCCGATAGCTCAAAAACTGAGAGACTAGTTTGCGTAGAAACAGACAGACGGACAGACGGACAGACGGACATGGCTAGATCGACTCGTCTTGTGATGCTGATCAAGAATATATATACTTTATGGGGTCGGAAACGTCTCCTTCACTGCGTTGCAAACTTCTGACTGAAATCATAATACCTTCTGCAAGGGTATAAAAATGACTGTTCTTCAAAGCGGACATAAGCTGACTGCTTTGGCCCAAGCAGTGCAACCGGAAATGGCGCAAGAACAAAGCAGTTCACCTCATCTGGGTTCGTTAGACAACCGCTAGATGGCGCCACTGTGCCCTCCAGTTTTTATATGCGCCATCTAGCAGATTGGTGGAACAACTACAGCAGTTCTCAGGTTGGCCGCCAGACGGTTTTATACACTTATTCTACATATGTTAAAAGAAAAACTTGGCTTGGCGCCACCTGGCGTATGTAGAAAATAATGTAAAATTGCGCCACCCTGTGTTTTAAACTTGCACGAGTCGCCCTTTTTTTCAACCCCAGAAGCCGGAAATCGGAAATGACCGGAAATGATCGAAAATAAGCCGGAATCGATAAATAGCGGCATTTTAAACCGGAAAAATGTACATTTATTGTATTGCGTTAATGTAAAACTACAGTTACAGAAATGGGTTGAGATCGGTCGGTCCTTTTGGAGTCACATCAATGGCTTCCAGGAGGTCGGCGGCCGCCTGTTTGTCCCTCTGGCTATTGCCCAGGAACCTGCGGTTCCCGGTCTTGCTGACGAGCAGCAGCTGCTCCTTCTTCGCCGTGGCCAGGCTGATGTGGCGCGAACTCTGGAGGTGCCTTTCGAAGGCCTGAAGCCGCGTCTTGTGCAGGAGCGCTTCCTGGTGCCTCTTCATGCTGTTAAAGCCGGCGATCCATATGTTGCACACCTTGCAGTGGAAACGCTCCTTGCCAAGGTGGACCGACAGGTGCACGTCCGAGTCCGAGCCGCCGTCTTCGGGCTTCCTGGAGATCTTGTTGGCTACCGCCCCATCCTCATCGTCGCTCTCCTCCAGAAGGTGCATGATGTTCCCTTCATCCTCGTGGGAGCTTGGCTGGAACAACTCCCTGGCGACACCCAGGTTTCCGAAGGAGGCTCCGGAGCTGCCGCTGGCTGAGGATCGCATCTTCCGCATGCGTTCCCTTTTAGGCGGGAGCGAGGGTGGAGTCTGGCATTGCCTGATCAGCGAGGCGACGTCCTGGGCACTGTTGGTGATGGAGTGGCACTCGAAGGTCACTTCGAAGGACGAGGAGGACGTCTTTTTGAAGGAGAACTTCTCCATTGCGAAATCCGAACAGCTGTTGTTTGGTGCCGATTTTCGATAGTGTCGATAAGCGAATCAAGTCATCCCTGAAGTATCGCACTTGCGATAGATCGATAGGCCGATTTCAGTTGGTTTAACGGTTTTTTTGATTTTACCACGTATTTACGCATTGCGAAATGGATTTCGACGGCATGGAAGCGGAAGTCCAAGCTGGAGCCCAAGAGCAAGCCCAGAAAATCGGAATAAAGCACCTGATGCTGGCGGTGGTGTCGGACCGAAATGTCCTGAACGAGTTGCCCGTGGACTATAAGGTCCCCAAATTGTGGGACCTCAACCACTGAAAAAAATTGGGAAATCGATAAATAAATAATAATTATTAAAAAAACAATAATCAAAAACAAATTTAATAATTCTTAATAAATTGATTTTTTTATTAGATTTTTTATTTTATTTTTAATTAAATATTTAATATTTATCTCTTCAGATCGTCTTCGGAGCCGATGGTCAGCCCGTTCGACCCGATTCGAAACGCGGCCGGGGCAAGGGAAAGTCGTCTGGTTCCGGCAATGGATCGGTTAACGCCACAGGTATCGCCGCCGGCAATGGAACACCAACAACTGGGGTAAGTGACGTCACCGCGGCTTTATTGCCCAACCGAAAAAGCCCCCATACCTCTCCACATTTTATTCATGGGAACTAATTAAGTCACGCGACGACACTCTGCAGACAGACTGTCTGCGGTCGAGGGATTGCCCAGGCCCATACTCCACAATCCATACTCCAAGCCAGACCCACAGTCCCCAATCCCCAATCCCCAGATTCCTGATACCCAGACCCCTTCACGGACCACCAGTCTTTTTTCGCGGCATGCCACAGCAACGTTTTCCACGTCATCACGCCCGTCGCCACTTGCTTTGTTTGTTCAGGCCAATGCACTGCGAGAAATTGACAGGACAACTAAAAATTGTTATTTTATATTCATTTATTTTTAATAATATTGAAAACATTTTTTAGAATTAGTCTACAAGAAATTTTTAAGGGAATTTTAGGCAAACTTAAAAGGGGTTTCTCAGAGTTAAAAATTTATCTATTTTATAGGACACGAATTAACACTTATTTTTTAAATAATAAATACTTTTTAAAAGGCTTGTTATTTTTAGTAGTATTTCTAAGATGATGACTCATACAAAGTGAGCCTTATTGTTCTCTGTGCAGCGTAGTCATGGCAGCGAGATGGGTCGGCTTCCCCGAAAGGCAATCCCTGTCCCTGTTTCCAGAGTCCCAGACCCAGAGTCAAAGTCGCGTTTTCGCAGACATCCCAGATCCCAGACAGCCCGAGGCAGCCAACCGCACGTAGCTGGGGGTCACCACCATAAAAACCTGCCGGCAAAATGGAGATGGAGAAAAAAAAGGCAGACAAAGTTGGGCCTTATGTTGACTTGCTCAAAGGCGAGCTTGTGCTGGGCCACTTGTTCTGCGGATTGTGGATGTGGATGTGGCAGCCACAAGCCGCACGTAGCAGCCAAAAACCAGCGGCAAAAGACCCAGGAGCCAAGAGCCCAGAGGATGGCTACCCAGCTACTTATTGTTGCCATGGGTCTGGGTCTCTTTTCCTCATCCGTCGTCGCTCTGGGAACCTCACTTTGACTTTGCCTTTGCCTTTCTTCGTGGGGAAACCCGGAAAAGCGCCAGTGACTTTGACCTTTGATGGAGCGACGGGATCGGCCGGGGAATTTCCCTTTCAGCAGCTCACGCAACAGTCCTCTCGTCCTCCGTCCTCCTGCGATTTCAAGGTCGGGAGTGTCGTAAAAACATGACACAAGCTAATACAGTGCATGAATGTTACACAATACAGTGAGTTCCAGTCACAGGGGTCTTGTGGTTTCGGTGACAACGGCATTTAAATGGGGGATATCTTTATTGGCACTCCCAAAATGAATTGTGAACCTTTTTGCCATAGAAATTGATGATGATAAAAATTGGGAAAAATTAATAAAATATTAAAGAAAAAAACCAAAGGGATATTTTAAAGTTAAAAAGGCTTCAAGCTCTTCTATATTTAATGCAATATTTTATATCCACCCCCTCCCAGTTTGAAGCTTTTTTTTCCGTAATGAATTTCATTCATGATGAAGCCTCCTTCCACACACCCAGTTATTCTTGTAGCTCGTCTATCCGGCTCATCACTCAAGTCATTTTATGCGGATGCGAAGTTACTCCACTCCACTCAGTGGAGTGCCTTCCCCATGCCATCAGTCTAAGCCAGCGATTTGTTTGGCAAGTGGTTGGTGGCAACATCTGCGTCTGGAGGCGACTTCCCTCCTCCAATGGAGCGTTGATTATGTCGTCACAGCGTCTGAGACTTGAAGACTCCCCGTGGTGGCAAACACACACACACTCATGGAAGCATAGAAGTAGAAGCCCATAAAAAGACCAAGCAGACATCCTCAGCCAGCTGGGGAATCTGAATCACGTGTGGCTCCCGTGGCCATAAAATCAGCCAGAAGGCAACAGGTTGTCCTGGTCCTTTGGCTGCGATTTTCTCTGCCGGGGAAAACCACTAGAAAATTTCCTCAAGTTTTCCTCTTCATTTTCCCCCCGCTGAGTGCAACACTTGCAAAGTTTTCCTTTGGCAAATTTTCCCGGGGAAAACGGGGGAAAGTGAAGTGAAGTTTTTGGTGGCCCAGTGACACGGACACAGAAACAGAAACACGGCTACTACTTCATTTTTTCCCACTGCCACCGAATTCAGGTCGCGTTGCATTTGCCAGGAAAACTCCCACCCACTTTTCCCCCCCTCGCGGCGACCTTTCAACGTGCACACGATGGGACAAAAAAAAAACCAGGGGGAAAAAAGAGAGTAATAGAGGAGTCGGCAAAGGCAAAGGCAAATCCATTGGCAGCACACGGGACCGGGACATTGGGATTTGGCCAAGGACGAAAGTCCGGAAAGCTGCAACATTTCCATTTCCACGGTCAGGGGCATTGGCCCCCGATGCCCAGGGGAGAGGCCCACTCTTCAGGTCGAAACTCCTCTGGCGGCACGCCTGACGCCTGCAACGCGGACCTGGGCATCGCCTCATGCACTGGGAGAAATTCTGGGCCCTCAAAAAAGACCAATAAAATTAATAAAGCTTCAAGTCAGATAAAGTAGTTAAATCTATAAAGATACCAATAATACTTTAAAGCATTTAAAAACTCCTAAACATAATAAAGAACGTTAAATTTTATTTTTTAAAACTGTCATCAGATTTTAAAACGAATAACAATTAATTAAAAAATGCTTAAGATTTAAATAAATTCTTATTTTATACTTAAATCCTAAATATCTTTTTAATTGATCTAAAGATATAATTCCTCTTTTTCCCGTGCACCTTTTGGCCTTCATGTTCATGTTTGCATGCAGTTACCAACATTTTTGGCCAGCCAGTCGGTTGCCCAGTCAGCCAGTTAGCCATTGTTCAGTCCAGCTGGGTCGCGGATTGGGTCGCCATTGGGTTGAAATGGAGCCGCGCCGAGTTGAGTCGGGTTTTTGGTTTTTGGCTTTGATGGCCTCGATAGTCCAGCTATCCAGCTCCGCCAGCCGGGCAATTCGGGGTCGCCATGTCGGCTCAGTCCTTTTGGCCAACGGCAACATCAGCGACAGCGACTTGTTGCACTCCCCTCCCTCGAAACTCCCCCGTTCACTTTTTTAAACCAGGTCTTTATCCTCCTCCATCTGGCTGCGAATCTGAATCTGCATATACATGGGCTTATGCGGAATGCGGCTGGAGTTTGGAGCTTGGAGATTGTCATCCCAGCCAATGGGGACAACACTGTGCCACAGGAAATGGGTTTCTCTTTTGAAAATATGACTCATTTTTAAGAAGATTTATGGGAAAGAATATGGGAATAAAATATTATTTTTATTCCCATGAATTAAGATTATTTTGGAAGCAAATATTTAAGTACATAAAAGACAAAAAATATAAGAAATATGTATTTATTTTGGGTATAAAAGTATTTGAAAAATGAAACATTTTGGAAATAAATGTAATGCATTTTTAAATAAAATGCCAAATAAATATTTTCAGCTTTTAAAAGGGAAATAATAAAATAAAAAAGGTATCTTAACAAATATATGTCTCCCCTAAAAAAACGGGAAGTAACAAAAATCAGCTATCAAATCACACATAAAAATCTACAAAATAAATAAATTAGGAAATAATATTAGGATGCCAATTTTCCTTTAGACATTTCAGAAAAGGAAATAATCTAAGAAACTTTAAAAATATTAAGATATTTATTCTGTAACCTGATATTTAAAGGGTGTAAAATTTCTCTAACCACATGTAATAACAATCAACTTTGTAGCTGTGTGCTCTGCATATTTGCCATGCATTTTTGTTAAAAACAACACCTCTTTAGTCCCCTTTACAACCCACTACCACCCACCATACTTGTTTTTTTTTTATTGCGTTGGTGTTTTTCTAGCTGGGAATGAGGCCATCCCACATCCCAGCTACCGAATGCGAACTACCGACTAGCAAAGACCACCGTCCAGTGCCTCTGGCAATTAGTCAACACATAGCAGGCGATGCAATCAGGCTGTCACAATGTTTGGACATGGACATGGCACGCAAGGGGAGTCTTTCTGCTTTAAAAGCGAGGAGGGGAGGGGCCACTTCAATTGGCAAGCCGACTGGCAGTGCACTTAACGTCTAATTAGGCGGCGCCTGCTGAAAAGCCTACTGAAAAGCTAAAAAGCCGCTCAACGGGTTGGCAATGTCAAAGCGAAGGCTTTTTAAGACTTTGGCCACACCTTGGCCATCACTCAAAAAGCAGGAAAAAAACCAAGAAAACAAACAGAAGTTGCAGTCTGTGGGCCAGACATAATCGTAAATGCCAACATGTCGGCGCCAAGTTGGCTGGCATGGCTTTGGCTACCTCAGTGGCACAGTACCACCAACCGTGACAGCAGCAACATCTACGGCAGCAGCAGCAACACTAACAGCAACAGCAGCAACATGAGCAACAGCAACAGCAACATGAAACACCAAGGGGACTCCTACGTGCGATGGCGATACAAGAGCTTACAAACAGCTCGTAAAAAACAGAAAAACAGACCCACGGCCCGTGGCATCAGCTTCAGATTCAAAGGCAGCAAAAGCAGCAGCAACAGCAACAGCAGGCGGCAGGCAGACAATTTGTCGTCCAACTGTCCGCATTGGAGGCACACCGGCAACACCAGGGATAGCAACAGCTACCCGGCAGCAACACTTGCTGCACAGAGAGAAAATGTGGCGTAAATCGCATGATTTATGGGAAATTTATAAAGCTGTACATTAAATAGCTTAAATAAAAATCAAACTAAAAATACATAAAATAAAAGAATTACTCCAAATTCAAAAAAAATTAATTAGCCAGAAAAACCTAATAAGAAAATGTCCTAAAACAAAGCAGTTTTAGCAATGATTAAAAAGTAGTACAAAATATATTATATACATCAAAAAATATTTTGTTGTAAATGCAAAATTATATTTATTATGGAATATATTGTATAAACATATTTATATTATTTTTTACATGCCAGGCATTTATTCTATTTATTGCACATATTTTTCCTTCTTCTTCTTCTTATAT